CTAGAGCTGGTAGGAAAATGAGCAGCATTTTGGCAGGCTCTTTCCAAACTATCCTCATATTTAGAAAAATACTTCTGTCCTCCACTTGGGGTTTCTAACCTTCCAAGAATATGGAGAACACACTTCCACCTCTGAATTACTGCACCTCTTATCATGCTCCTCCTACGTCCCATGGTGCTTCATAATTAAAAAAAAGGAAAAGGAAAAACATACACCTTAAGAACCCCATAGTGCTCGAAAGACAGAAATGACTGAACACCCAAGGATGCAGACAATGCAGGTAGCCCAGGACCACATCCATTTAAATCAGTGGAGGTTTGCTGCAGCAGAGCTGGGAGTCAGGCCAGAGCTACCAGGGGAATCCCAGATGCCCACCTTAAGATAATTTCTCTTAAAAGACTTCCAATGGAGACATTCAATTTCTACACTTCACAGACACTTAATAGTTCAAAAAGCAACCAAACTAACCCTAAATGGTGCCTGAATAACTCTTTCAGGACTTTCCATGCTGTAGTTTGAAAATGGCACCTGAATTACAAGAGTGCACCTGAGCAGTTTATAGCTGTTTCCCACACTGGTGTATCTTTCCTCTGCCTCAGTGAACTGAGAGGTCAACCCAGCACAAACTGCCCTGGGTGACACCCAGGGCCACACAGCCCAGTCCAGCTACCGCTAGACTCTGTATGTTTTTGCTGAGCTCATGGGCACTTCTGTGCCCATTCCAGAGCACATGCATATATGTGTGCAAGGTCATCTCCCCAGCCTGCGTCACTGCCCGTTCTTATTTGGAACAATCAGGAAGAAACTCCTGGTGTTTCTTGGCTCCTGCACATATTTTTCATGCACAGGGGAGCACCCAGCCCATACAGAACATTTTTTGCTGCTGTAATCTTGATGGAAAAAGCAGTTGGTGATGGAGGAAGGCATTCAGATGGCTGAGAAGTGCCTGAGGGAAGAGAACATTCAAACATATTTGCACATGAGAAATCACGAACGTGCCACCAAAAAAGTCAGAAGAAGCATTAACAAGGCGAGGGGAAAGGGCAGGAGAATTTCCAGTCCCACAGCTCCTTGGGAGTCTGCTGCTTTGTAATATACAGTCCAGTTTCTCCTGATCTGTTTTACAGGATCAGTTTGGAAGTTACAAATCTCACAGGTCCATTAAGCTCAGTGCCCTTTGCCAGGCTCAGCTCACATTTAACATCATATTCATGCTTATCTTGAAGTTCACAGTTCTGCCCGTTGCCATGAGAAATCTGCAAGAGAAATTGGTAGAAATTCCTACCTGGAGATTTCCACAGCCACCACTCCTCCTATCACAGCCATCAGTGGTCTTGCTTCTGTGTGTAGACCCAGATCTGAATTGAAGTTAGACAAAAGGATTGAATGCCATGGCACAGCCACCAGGCACTCAGCTGGGAACTGTGCCTGCAGTTATTTTCCTTACTGGAAAAACAAAACAATATTAAAGCAGGCTGGATATTCTTCTAGATCTGCGTTATTCAGCATAAGGGCATGCAGATCAACACCAACATTGCATCAGGTGCTGTGCCAGAACTGCAGCGACTGCACCCAACAAACCAACATGTGAGATGCTGAGGATTTCCAAAAAGACCAGATGCAGATAAGGCCACGTGGCACCTTCTTCATGTTTTGCTCACTGAACATCATCCTTCAGACAAGCATTCCTTCAGCCTTCTCAGGTTGGATGTTAGGAAACACTTTCTCTCTGAAAGAGTGGTGAGGCTGCCCAGAAAGGTGGTGGAGTCACTGTCCCTGGGGGAGTGTTCAAGATCCACAGAGACGTGGCTCTGAGGGACATGGTCAATGGCTATAGAGGGGATAGGTTGCTGGTTGTATCTGGTGATCGTAGAGGTCTTTTCCAACTTGAATGATACTGTAGTTCTATGATTTCATGGCACGTGATGCCATAGTCTCGAAGAGGGGAAAAAGGCACAAGAACTGTTAGCCAAAAACAGCATGATCTGGCTGTTTGCAGATTAGCAAACCAGGGATGCCCTGAACACACCAGGTCCTCCCTGTTATGCAAAGACACCACAGCAACCTGCTCAGCCTATGGGTTGGCACACAGCCTTCCAAATTGAGATTAGTATTTATTGGACAGCTTCCTGGAGCAGTGCTCATTCACATCTGCCACTGAGCTGCACTGTCAAACAGCTGGCAGAAGTCAATGACATGTGGTTCACCATGGGATTTTTCATAACAATGAGACACAAACAAACTTAGCGTTATGTACAGAGATGATGTCAAACAAATTAGCTTTGCCTGAGTTAGTCAGATGCTCTCGCAAAGCATGGTGCTGTCTGCTCATGTCACAGCCTTGGCTATGCTGTTTCTCAGAAGGAGCTACAGAGAGGCATCTGCACAGCAGCACTGAGCAGAGCAGAAAATCCCAGAGCTCTGAGTCAATTGCAGAGGTGGCCTTATTGTCACAGTGGGGAAAAAAAAAAAAAAAAAAAAAAATGGAAAACTTCCAAAAGATGGAACTCCAGAGCTGAACTGTATAGTGAGCATTTAAAGCTGCTTTTGCCCTGGTTTGTGAAATTCTCTGGCAAATTTTTAATTTTCTTTCTTCCTTAAATTGAAATGTTAATTTGTCTGAATCAATCCAGACAGAAAGCTTTTGGGACTGGCTACACAACAGCCTCAGGGTGGCTGAGGGAACTGCTGCTCCTACGCAGATGTAACAGCCAGACACAGACCATAACCAACATTTACAAATGAGCTGCAAGGAAAACTCCATGACAAGGGGTATTACACTCACATTTTTTTCTGTGTTCCTGCCTACATTTTGACTTCCTTTTCTATGAGAGCATTTATCCAACTAAGTGAGGAAGACAAAAGATCTAGACTTTGGGCTATGGAAAAGCGACCAAAAGTGCTAACAGATTTCCATCCTTTCACTAGTGAGAAACCCAACAGATGGCAGCCCTGCCCCAGGGGGGCTTCTTTTGGTCTCTTTCAGGTACTACACCTCTGCTGTTTCCCTTACAACCACCTGGGTCCAGGCTGAGTGGCCTGAGGGCCTAGGATCTACATGTGTGCTTTGCCTTATGGCACTTAAGTCTAATGACTTTGCTTTCCCAGGATTCTGTTTCCTTCCTCTTGTTCCATCTGACTTCCTCCAGAAGAGGTGTTGTTCTCTCACTGTGGTTATCCAACCTCACCTTTCTTGCAAGGGTCCACCTGCCTACATGGCCACGAGCACATGAACTGAGTGAAACATAGCTCTCCACTCCGGAGTCTGGGCCAGAGCTCCAGTGGGTGGGTGCTTCTTCTCTCTGCACAGCCATTCCAAAACGGGCTAGGAAGAACAGTTCTCCAAGCAACACCACAGTCAGTACCTTCCTCTTCTGCTCAAACCAGAGGCATCAGCAGTTCTGTGACATGTCCTTCTGCTCACCAAAATCTGCTACTCACAGAGCCTTCTCGCTCCCGTGTAATTCAGCGAGAGTAGGAGCAGCCAGAGTCTTGTCATAGTACAAGATTTTATTGTTGTCATGATAATTAACGACTACATACAATGAGCTTTTAATGAGTACCTGCACTCTTTTTTTCTCCCTGTTTGTTTGTTAACTGGGTCATAAAGGAGTTCTGAATGATTTCCTGGATTTATAGTACAATGGAGACCTCTACAGGTGCTTTCCTCCTCAGAGCCAGGCTAACGTGACGTATACACATATCACTGCAGGTGCCATCGGTGCTCCACTGCTCAGAGTACTTACAGAGTTGTGCAAGCAGCACTTCCAGTCTCTCTGTTGTCAGGTCCACATGTTCAATCACAGCTTAGGGCCATCCAAGGCTTTGAGATGCTAGCGATAACCTGCACATTCCATCTGTGCATTTCTTGTTTGTCAAGCTGACCTTCATCAAGACAGCCATGAAGTTGTTCTGCTCTGAGCCAGGAGTTCCCAAGGAACAGGACCATTGGAGACCCTATACACAATGGGCTCAGTCTGCAGACAGCATTCTTAGGACACAATCCAGTGTTATATGGCTCAGACTTGACACTAGGTGGCCATACACATCAGCACTCTTCAGGTGAGTTATTTTAATATGCACAAGAAGCAGCTGTTCTGCCATAACAAATATTATTTTGCAAGGACAGGCATTTTTCCCACAGGTTTGTACCCCATTCTTCTAAGGGGACCTTGCTGGGGTCAGAAAACTGCAGGGTATGTAGATGTTTCAGATGGAAATGAGTGTTAGCTACTGGACAGGTACCTGAGCCCCATCATTAGCAGCAACAAACATGCCGAGATGCTGAGAGCAGGCACCTGTGCAGCAGGGACAGGACTTGATGGCCTGAGGACAGACAGGCTGGAGTGATGCGCTGCCAGAAAACGCAGTGTGGTTCCAGCAGCCAGGATCAGATCATAGGTGCTGTTGCCCTTTGGGAAGGCAGTCTCAGCCTTTAGTGTCTGTCTGTCAGTTCTACTGAGCTGCTGCCCCCAACAAGCCTGACACAAGACTGCCCAGGAGCCAAATATCACAGGGTCTCCTCCTAAAGAGGAGAGCATTCTTGGCATGTGCAGCTTCCAACTGTGTGCCATTACAGAAGGAGTCTGATAAACAAGGCAGGAAAGATGGTCCCACTCCTCTGCCAGGCCAGTTCTGCAGGAAATTCTGCACAGTAAGCAGCAGCAGGCAATACCAGCCAGGCAGCATCTGTCACTGATGGAGGCAGGGCTCAGCACAGCCAACTCCACAAAGCGATCTGAGGCAGCATGGATTTCCTCAGCATGGTCACTGCATTGAGCCACACTCAATGGTGAGTTGTTCCTACAGCAATGCCTCAGACCCAATTGGCCAGATGAAAACCTCAGAACTGCAGCAACGACTCTTCTTCCACATAGGCTACAGACTGTGAACACTCTGCAGACTGACAGAAAGCATCATCTGGGTGGGTGCCCCCCAGAGCAGCCTGCTCCCAGGTCCAGCTTAAGCACATATAGCACCAAAGTGGGGAGTAACCCACTTCTGGAAGCCTCAGCACCATTTAGAATAAAAAATATAAAGCAAAGATATCCTTTCCCTTCCTTCTCCCCACCTTTGTCTCTCTGTTTTCCTCTCCCTGCACTTACACCAAGTCTCATTTTGCATAGCAGGGGCCCATCTGGCATTCTGCTCTCGAGCTTTTCTTCCATTAGCTTAAAACCCCAACCAGCTTTTACAGACTGCCCTTACAGAGCTGACTAAGTCCACAAAGCAACCAGAAGAAAACACTGCACAGTGTTTAACTTTCTCCCTAATTGAAGTACACACCTTCCTTTCCAGTTGGCTTAAATATTTATCAAAACATAGAAGAAGTAGCTATGCCTTTCTCTAGGTACAGAGCATCTCACTGCAACAAGTAAATTTCTTTCAAGAAGCACTACTGTATAGTCAAATACATCAATGAGAGAATTCACAAATGGTTAAAACACATACACAAAAACCCATCGCTCTGTGACAGCAGGAGAGACATTCAGAAGAAGATGAACCTGCATGACAACGTTTTGCAGCTTTTCCTCCTTTGGACTGACCAGCAATTAGAACTTTCTCAGAGGAAGATATCTCACTTGTGCTTTCCTGATGATATGCAATTTTTAATAGGCATTTCAGTTCAGGATTCAGCTACTGACCAGGAACCCCCATGTGAAAAGCCACCAACTTTAGACCAGCCAAGTGCTTAAGCACATTTACCCTTGCAAAAGCCAGTCTTTCATATACATTTCAGCACTACCACTGTAGTCTCATAAATACACAGGTTTTCTTTGTTGTTGTTGTTTTTTGTTTTAATAAAAGGATCATATTCATCATTTGGTAAAAACGAACTCATGGAACAAAGAAATTAAACTTCCCAGCAATTCACCTAAATTAGGTGAATCGCAAAACAAAGATTGCCAAGGTACTAACTGTCTTTCCCTTGTAGATGACTAAACATGGAAGAACTGTCTACAGTTTGCAACAGCTGAAATGAAAAAAGTATCTGGGAACCATCTCCAGTCCCATTAGCATTGGCAGGTAGCTTCAAATGTCAGTGAGAAATCACAGTTAATGTCACCAACATTGGAACCAGTTTTCTTCCCTTCTCCATGAACAAAATCTTCTCTTCTTGCCTTTGCACTTCTTTGTAGGAAAGACGAAGCAAAACAAGCATCTGATAATAAATAACCTGTCTGGCTGGAGTGGAACAAAATCCTTATGCTCATTTCTTTCCTTCTTATTAGAGTGATCACATAATGCATGTAATATGAGAAAGGAGTAAAGCTGTTCTGCTTCCTTGGCAAAGCTCTAGCAAATTTCATAACATAATTCCAGCTTCTGTAGCAACCAGAGTCTTGCTCTGAAATCAGAGTACAACAAGGCAAGGTTTGCTTTAAGTTTCAGGAATGTAATGAGCCACCCTATGATCTTTGGGAGGAGTTGTGTTCTTTGTCGTGAGTGCACTCAATAATCCATTGGCAGAAAGATGTCCAGTTCCTTTTGAAAGGCAGTCAACACTGCAACAGCAGAATCCAGACAGCTTCTCATCAGCATGTGATGTTCAGAATACAGTTTCACTGTGAAACAGGTGGTCTTTTTCTTCCAGAGCAGAAAGGGGAAGGAACAAAAAAAAAGACAGAAAAGAGCAGAGCAGAATACTCCAGTAGGGCTTGAAATGACTGAAAATAGGTGAAAGAAATCAATCCTCCCCTCATCAAATCTGAAGCACAGGAGAGCGCTGAGAAGGCTGCAAGTATTCTCCGCTGTTTTGACCCGCTCATCTAGCAACCTTGTCTAAAAACATAAAGTCTTTCTTCAGAAGCAAATGGAGCCCATCAGTTCTGCAGGAGCTCCATTCATGCCCTCACTCTGTCATTCTCTTTATTTCATCCCATCAGCGAGGCTGGGACATTGCTAGACTGCATGGAGTGGCCCTCGAAACAGAACTGCCTCTTGTTTACAGACACACTGGTAAGCATTTTGATGCCAGAGCTTCACAGCGCTGTCTCTCCCATGCAGACTTTGTAGGGAGATTTCAATTTCCTGCATCTAAAATAGAAGACATCGTAACATTTTAATTAGACAAATTTGAAACCATAGTAGTCTGAACAGAACTCAATTTAATTGCTTAACTCACTGAAGTAGCCCCAATGAAAGCCACTTTTAGTAACATTGTGCTGTGCTATACAACTGGCAGAACAGACAGCAGAAGTATTGAGCATCAGTGCCTTTAAGATCACACAGCAGTGACAAGAACATACTCCCAATGCTCTTGTACAACTCCACTGTCCTCCCCACCATAAATCAGATCAATTCAGCGAGGTTACATATTTCCCATACCTCTTCCTTACGTAGCAGTAGATGATTGCAAGTATCCCACTTGTGAGTATTCCTATGCCAATCCCCACAGCAATGTAGCGCTCATAAGAATTATGCGCGTAGGAATTCAGTGTTAAATGTTCACACCTCTCTCCATTGTAACCTGCAAGGCATCTGCAAAATAAAGATACACCATGTGAAAACTACTGAGAACCTCTGCTCTCTATTTCAGAAATACATGCTGGTTTTAAGTAGCTTTAAACTATGTTGAATGAGTCTGAAATAGGAAGGGTTGGATGTGGTGCTTGGTCAGAGCCTCTTCCTCAAGACTACCAGTTGTCCCAGTCCATCTGGTTTAAAGCTAGCTCCAGTACTGCAGTCACAGCACCAAATACCATCTAAACATACCCTCATAGCAGAGGGTGTGGACGAAGAGTTGTGTGCCCTGCTGATCCTCAGCTGCTGTGATCTCCAAAGTTGTTCAGTACTTTAGAGATACTCAAGCACACCATGGTTCTGATTGGTATGGAAATAGCTGTGAAGTGATGGAGCTTCAGCTGACATCTTCAAATATCCTGACCTCTTCGCAATTCTGATGTGAGATACCATCAAGTCAACACCTCTCTCTCCCCTTTCCTTGGTATCACATTAACACCCCAGACTTTGCCAAACTTGAAGCCTGAAAAAACTTCACTGGCACATGTAAGTTTTGCTTTGCTGAAAATTAGTCAAATTCCAATAATAACTTGTGGCAGACAAAGAAACAATGCCACTGTTGGCAGTTCTCTAAGAAAGATACTTTAAAGCAATGCTGTTTACTTGCATATGGGTTTCCTCAGTTCGCTGTGGAAAGCACAGAGCCCATTTATGCAATAACTGTGGTGTTCTTCCAGACAGGCCTGCATGAGCTTCAGGAGCCTTGGTTGCTCTGCATAGTCTGCTGTGAACACAGAAAAAGGCCATGTTACATCTAGAAAAAGTACAAAAATGAAAGCATTTGAAAGTATTTTCACAACTCAAGACGAACAGACATCTGCAGAAACAAACTTAATATGTTTGCTGTGATGTGTCTCTCAAGATGGTTCACACAATGCTGACCAGAACAAACTTCTGCAACATATCAATTTGGCTTTGAGGAAGAACAAATTGCTAATAAGTTACTTCTTAATGAGGAGTGTGTATAAAAATGATATGGAAGACTCACCCTGGCTAACACTAGTATTACCCAATGTGTGCAATCCATCAGAAAAAACATCCCAAAACATCAGGGGTTAAGGATACAACGACAACATGATTATTCTCAGCATGTTTCCCTGCTAGAATTCAAACAACAAATTATTTTTTTCTTCCAATCCCTAGACAAATCATTGCATTCCTGTCCCTCAGTGCTGCAGCTACAATTTCGTGATGAATGGTTCTCCGTGGTTCTATGTCAGCAGAGTGTCCAGTTATGGTTTTAAGTAATCAGCACTCCCCATGTGGCCTTTCTACGTGAGAGTAAGCCAGGGCCACAAGTGTTCAGTGTTTAAACTTGAGGGCCTTAGTATTTCAGGGCACTGTCTTAGAGATGACTGATGGCGATTTCCTAACTGAGCATATGCCAACACCAGGCTTCTGCGATGACCACAAACAAAATAATATCATGCAGGAAGGTGACAAGGTCTGCTCAGTGATGAAGCAATGGGGCAGCAGCAGAAACCCTCCTTCTGACTAAGTGCTGAATCAAGCTTCAGAGATGGTACACTGAAGAACAGACTGTCAGATATGTATGCCTCCAGCCCTTCTGTGGTCAACTCGAGATGTCAAGACACATTTTTCAGGAGCAGTAAGACCAATTCCCCCATTTCCTTAACAAACTCTAGTCTGAGTCATTCCTTAGCCACAATCCAACTGTGTACTCAGCTTGGTGACTTTCTGTCCTTGGCGCAGCTGCATCCCGAACATGGCAAGTGATGGTGAACAGCTGCTCTGTGCTATGACCTGCTGAGGCACTTCACAACTTCATCCATGAAGTTGGTTTGGGTATCAAAGAGGTTTGATACTATCATTACTAATCCAATTGAACACCAGTGCTTTGAAAATAGTATCCTCCAAAATCTGAGAGAGAAATCTGACTTGGAGAGACTTATAGAGAAAAAAAAATTTCTTGGAAAAGCACAGATGGACTAGCTCCTTGTTTCCAGGGAAAGCTGTGGAAGTGGTAGAAATCAACTTATTTTGAAAATAAAGTTGTTGGCTGAGAAAAAGATTAAAAGGAAAAAAAAAAAAAAAAAAAAAAAGATGCACTTGTGAATTTTTACACTAGGGATAAAGCAGACCTACAGCTAGAAACAGTGCTAGAAGGTATCCACCAGATACACGTTTTTGGCTGTTACAAAATGACACACGTGCTGATGGAGGAGCCAAAGGTTATGCCCTATTCTCTGTATTACACCCAGTAACAGAAATGAAGTATCAACGCTACAACTGCTAGTCTGTCCCCACCTACTGGAACCAGCATGCTGTCCCTGCTCAGAAAGCCTCATGCAGGGCAGACACACTCACAACCCTGGATCACGCTCTCTGTGAGGGAACCACCAGCAGTGATGGCACATGAGCTCCAATACAGAGCTCTGGAACTCATTTGGTTGGCATGGGAGCACTGCAGACACACTCTAGAGATGCCAGCCAAGACACTGGGCTCACTGGCCAAGAGCACAATCAGGAGAGGACCAGGCCTTGGAGAGGTAGATTTAAGGAAGACAAGGCTGATCTCATGAGAAGAGATTCATGATGCTACTCAGTCCACAGGACAGTATGATGAGTATGATGCTAATTGCTGGGGAAAGTACGAGATAAAACACAAGGCAAGAATGTCTGCAAAGAGCAGCATGCTGAGATCCAGGATGCAGGAGAACTGCAAGGGCTGATTTTCACGATGTTGCAAGTGAGAGCTTCAGGGAACAAGCCATTCACACTCATTCATGGCTCTCCTCAGCTTCCAGCACAACAGGGCCAAACTACACAGTATGAAGCAGTTCAACCTGACCCTCAAGTAAAACCTTTCACTGCCCATCCCTGCTGCTCTTCCACCAGGCTCTGAGAAGACATTTACTGCATAGTCATAGTATTGCCCTTAGGTCTCTGCCATAAAGAAAAAGAAATGGAAAAGGTGCAAATACAAGTGTCAGATAAGTGGAATGTGCAGTTGCCTCTGCTCAGACTTCAGCCCAATATCTCTCCTGGTTTACACCACTTCTGCCAGGAGATGGCAGCCTCCCATCCACCCACTGCTTGGGAAAGCTGCCTTTTCCTGTGGGCAGGAAAACCTCTCTCCCCTGTGGACCGTGGTGGTTAACATGTCTTAGAAACAAAGGTCAGCCCAGAACAGAAACATGACTAGAAAGTGCTGGAGACAAACACTTTGTTACATGGACCACAGCCTCCATAGTTGTCAGTAGAAAGAGCTTTGTCCAGTTTTGGTTGCAAGATCTGATCTTATGTGTACATGAACAAATCCTAAGTGTTAATTACTCTGACATTGCAAAAGTACAAATGATGACCTTCAAAAGAATGATGAGTCTCAAAAACAAAGATTTTCTAACCCATCCCAGAGCATGATGCTAACTCCTATCATATTATCCACCTCGATACTAAGCAAGCTGTTGAACAAACACATGTGCCTTTCAAGTCCCGTGAGGAAAGACAGACAAGCATGCTGTGTAAGCACCTGACAGCTGCCTGCAATTGAGTCACTCAAACAGATCCACCTGGCAAGATATGACACGAAGTTAAAACCTGCAGGTACCTGAAAGCCGAGGCGCGTCAACACAGACCTAGTGGCAACAAGAAGAGCGAGCCACCAAGGCCACTACAGCTCAGCCTTCAGTATGATGCTCAGAAAAGAATGAGAGCATCAGAAGGGGAAGAAAGGAGTCAGATCCAGGGTCGGAACCTTCCCTACAGTCATGTAGAGGAAGGCTACAAAGACCTCCCTTCAGCTGAAGCTGTGCCTGAAATTCTCCACTCTTGGTTAGCCAGCTCCCGGCCAAGCATCCTCTCCAACCATCATTTTCCCCTGTGAGTGATCCACCTTGAACCTCGAGTACTCTGTTCTGTTTTGGGCTTCTCACTACAAGAAAGACATCGAGGCCCTGGAGCGCATTCAAAAAAGGGCAACAGAGTTGTGCAGAGTCTGGTGCACAAGTCTTATGGGAAGCAGCTAAGGGAACTGTGATTGTTCTGTCTAAAAGAGGAGGCTCAGGGAATACCTTATGGCTGTCTACAGCTGCCTCAAAGGAGGTTGTGGTGAGGCGGGGATTGGCCTCTTCTCCTGCATAACTAGTGATAGGACAAAAGGAAATAGCCTCAAGCTGCACCACAGGAGATTCAAGTTGAATGTTAAAAAAAGTTTGTTCTCCAGAAGAGTGCAGAAGTGCTGCAATGGGCTGCTCAGGGATGTGGTTGAGGTACTATCACTGGGAGTCTTCAAGGAAAGGGTAGATGTTGTACTGAGAGACACAGTTTAGCGGGAACTAATGGGGATAGCTAGATGGTTGGATTGGATGGTCTCAGAGGTCCTTACCAACCTTGGTAATTCTATGACCATGGAACCTAACATTTCCTAGCCCCGGCACAGCTATACAGGCCCACCTGAGGTGTAAAATAAGGAAGCAGGACATGATCTTGTAGGAGGGATGCAAATGGATTTGTTCTTCCTTGAGCAGAAATGAACCTCCCACAGAAAACTGCCAGCTCCTCCAGTGAGTCCTACCCAGGCATTCAATTTCTTTGGTGATCCTTCTGGCATTTCTTTCTCATCTTCTTGCCAGATGTTTCCAAGGGAAACATTCTCTAACTAGAAGCATGGGTACCTGGTTGATTTGCACAACTGCAACTAGCAGAAATACACATAGAACAATTGTAGTCATGGTTGTGCTCCTGTAAACAAAAATCTATTTGCTAAAATCTGACCCATAATTCCTGTTTTCTAGAAATACTTCTGGGTACTTCTGGAGTAACAACGCATATTACTAGTTCATTAAATTCCTGCATGCTCTGAAATAACCAAATCACAGACAAATCATTAAGCCAGCATGCAAGTGTTGTACTGCTAAGTCAAACTATTGCTGTCAAAAATCAACAGCAACTTGATTTCTGTATATATATACACACGTGTGTGTGTTTATACTACACAAAGCAATAGCGTAACATTTATAGCATACAGGTAAATGCATACATATCTGTAAAACTGTACCACTGTGAGAAACTAGATACAAGAAGAGAACAGAGCACAGCAGCTTGACTTGTTACAAGAAAAATAAACAGCATATGGATCTGCTAAGAAAACTTGCAAGACAGATGACCTAAAATTAGCACAAGATGATTCGCATGCAATATGTTCTTTTAAAAGTACAAAGACATTAATAAGTATCACAGTTCAAATCCTTTCCTCCTTTACTGACCTGCCAAAACCTCAGGTCCAGATTGCATGGCTCTCCCCAAAGCAGTGACATCATTAGCACCTGAAGTAACATCAAGAATGCAGCTGGCAGGTTAAACACAGCGCTCTGGGCTCAAATGTTGGCAGGTAAATAGCTTGAGTTCACATTTCAGTCAGAATAGAAAGAGAAAAGAGAGCTAACACTCTGAGAAGGGCTGCAGAAGCCGTGATAGCCAAGAGCAAAACTGCAACAAAGAAAAACTCCTGAGTAACAGCAATAAACATAGCATCACTTTACATTGGTTTGCTGCATTCTCACTTGAGCACATAAAGATTCAGACTGAAGGCAGACAGAAACCAGGCATTACTGAAAAACAACCATCAAAATTCCAGGGAATCTATCCCAAACAGCCTCAAAATATCTCCTTTTACTCAGTGATTAATAAACAGAACAAAGCACAAATACCTTCAGTGTTGTTTTTCGTCCAGCTATTCCACATTTCTGTGCTGAGGGATGAAACAGTGAGAGCCGCCTCCTCACTCAGTGCCCCCATTGCTGTGTAATGCAAACAGATGCTGACTGAAACAGAAAACTCAGCACGGCTATTCAAGGTTCATTTCATCCAGATAACATTTACTCATTTCATGCACTTCTGATGCAATGCAGAAATACAGTATACGAAATTCTTGCCTCAAACCTCCCTTTGTTACAGAGCTACTATTATGACTGAAGGGAAAACAAACATTTGCAGAATCCCTAAATGCACATCCACTCTGTTCTCCATTCTGTTATCTATGTAACTTATGGCACAGACACCTGCAACATACTACAAACAATGTTGCACCTATTTAACAAAGAAATTTCTCTAGGCCAGGTCTTGGTTCCATTCCATCCTTCCAAACCTTGCCCAGTTTCAAAAAGTAGTGAAACAAATCTGCTTCACATTGCCATGGTTCCCACCCCTACAGCTTATTTCAGAAAGACTGAACTTTTCCTTAGGATAGCCCAGTATACCACGACACGGAAAAGCCCCTCCAAACCCACCTTTCAGCAAAATGTAGATGAGCATTCCAAATGCCATGGCAAGCAGCTGCTTTAACACCTTTGCAACTCTCCTTTGCCGGTGCTCGTTGGCTCCACTTATCTGTGCTGCTGTGTTTTCTCTTGCACTTATACGCCACGAAGCGTCATTTGCTGCTCTCACCAATCAAAAAAAGGTGCGTCTGGCAGCAAGCTCAGCCCTTAGGGCAACCACACATTTATTTAGGAAACTGCTATTATCTAGCACTGGGATCGGGTTTTCTCTTGAAACCCCAGTTTCCTATTACCCGTGGGCATTGTTGTGCATGCAGAGATGTAGTTTTAGAGAGACCTGGCATCTGACAGAGCAGATCAATGATATATGGCAAAACCAGAAGGTTGCAAAACAAACAATATCGTGAAAAATGAGATCTTTGGTCCCTCGGTGATAAAGCCTTACATTACTTCTAGGGAGGTGGTCAGCATTCAGCCTGTTGCTTCAGGTGCCAGGAGCCAGGGTCCAGTCCCTGCTGTGCTCTAGTTCCTCCTGCACTTCAGCTCCTCCTCATCCAGAAAAGGAACGGTGAGAACAGCCGTGCTGAGACTGAGAAGTGATCAGACAGAGATAACAGTGATATTCCCCATCAGTGACTGCCAGCAAAAGGCTTTGATCGCAGCTGGAGCTGTGCAAGGGTGGCCACCTGGAGAGCCATGCAGATACACAGTGAGAGTGATCATGCTTTTTACGTTAAGAACCTGTAGGTCTTTAATACCTGATACGCACGTTTCTTAACGCCACTCTCCACAGCCCTAAAAGCTGTCAATTCCTTTGTCACAGGCAGCTCAGAACAAGCAGGACTGCTTCCTCTGCAATGTTGTTACATAGCACTGAGGCAGATCACCAGAAAGGTCCAGTTCAGTAATGGAAAAGCAGATCAACAGCCTCAAAACTTTTCACTCTCACCCCAAGAGAGCTGCTATCTTCACTTCAAGTTTCAGTTTCCCCACTGTGAGCTTCAGAAAATAAAAAAAAACTTTTCACAACTTAATCTTTTCTTTAGCCAAAACCTAATGACAGATGCTCTAGCAACTCCGGTCAGCTTGAGTTCTCCCTCTGCACCAAGCTCTTTGGTGATGTATGGGATTCAGTGTAACCACTTCATAAGCTCAGGGAAAAAACACAAGCTGGTTATGCACACTTTAATTATGCGTTCTGATGCTCATGGGCTGCATTCCAGGAGGCTTTTCCCTTCCTTCTGTATCCTGAATGGCTGCATGCCTGCACATTGATCGAGTTCAGCCTGCGCACTCCCCACTTGCTAGGACTGGCATTTGTGCTACCTGCAGATCCTTTGCTATCAGTCCCAAGCAGGGAGCTTCCTTTCAACATACTTCTACACAATGGGAGTTTAATCCAGTGTGAATGCGAGCAGTGGCTCTGTCGTTGGGCAATGCAGTGGGTGTGGCAAGAAGAGGGCAGCAGATGAGGCTATGGCTGTCCCCACCTGGCCTGATCCAGGCACACGAGCACTTTGCAGGCTGGAAATAAGAATCATAACCCTTCTGCAGTTTGCAATGGAGAACAGATGCATTTGGCAGCTCTGAAAACAACTTGCCACTAAGCGAAACCTTGGTCCTGCTGGCTTTATGTCATACTAACTCACTCGTGGGAGGTGAAAAGAGAAAAAGCTGAGGATGCACTATAAGCTGCTGGGAGGATATGACAGAGGCAGACTCATTCCAGTGACATAAGCAAAGTGCCTCGAGTTGTTATTCCACCAAAAATGCAGACTCTATTTTTAGCTAAAGCAAAGTAAATGAACACGGATTTGGAAAAGCAATGCAAACAGGTGAATTAAAGGTAATGAATGAACACACAAAAGGCTGCTGTTGTTCCACTCTTTAGATAGAAAGGAAAAAAAAAAATCCAACCCAAACTGTATCAAAGTATCTCACAGAAAGGTTAGCAGAACAGGCAAATTTTATTCCATCTGAGCCAATGATGGGTTAAATTATCTGAGCATTATCTGCACATGCACCTGGATACCCCTAACATTCTCATAACCCCTCATTTTGAACAGATACACGGGTGTCTGCACCATTGGTTCCATACACTTAGTAATGGATCTGTCAAGTGATTCTGCAAAAAGTGTATTTATGCAAAACTCTCAGAGCATCAGAAGAAACAAGCAGCACAGAAGCAATTCTCCATCTGTTTTTTTTTTTTTTATTTTGGTATGCACTTTTTTTTTTAATAAACAGAAGTTGTATTTAGCCACACCTTTTTGTATTCTAACTTTTTTGAGTAGTCTTGAATCTACTGGCAATCACTAAAGGCCCTTGATTAAAATAAAGTTACCCCAACCAAGATAAAAATATGGAGATAGCAGCCCAAAGTGACTCCCACTGGCTTCAATGAGAACCAGGGTAGGCTCTTCAAGTCAATACAGCGTATGCATATTAAAAGTGGCATCCTAGCAGTAACGTGACTCTGACTCTTACACTGCATAAGACTATTCTGAATTCACCTTTGGAACATCTTAGGGTACAGAAACACACTGATAATCATTCCTCTCCCATTTATTTTTATGATTTCTATTTCGTTTTACAGCAAGCATCTTATCTCACACAGTCCTCTCTAAGAAGCAAAATATTGTCAACAAATACTCATAGGGCTCAGCCTTATACTAGGAATTAAGAACCCTTCATGTTGCTTCAGACGATAAGAGAATAAACAAACGGCTTAAATTCCAATACAAGCATTTCTACCATGGGTAAACTTTTGATTCTCTCTTCCTCTTCCCCTCTATCTTATACAAAAAGTACATACATAGCAGCTTTAACGACATTCTACCCGACTGAAGTCCAATCCAACCACATCATCTACTCAAAACCTTTTTGTGGCATTATGCATGAAAATAGCATCAACCAAATTCAGACATGGAAAGAAAACAATTCTGGCCTCACAACTGCAAGTACTTCACGCAAGCCTCTTGCATACATTTCAGAGGAGAGTTTAGCCAATATTGAAGTACACAGGACAGCTTTAAAAATGTGTACTGAGCATTTGTGTTCACTGCCAGAACTATTGTCTAGTAGCTGAAACAAATTCAAGCCTTTTGTTCCTTTCAGACTCCAGATCACTGTTATCTAAATGTTTTCCAACTTCAAATTACACCCAGAACGTTCCACATTTTCCATAAATATCCACTATGTTGAAACCTACTTTTCATACAGATTGAGCATATCTAATGCTTAAATAAATCTCATCAATAGCATCCCATCTCAAAATATACAAGCATAATTCAAGCTCTGGAATTCAAGTTTAGTTCTTCACTTCCACACACACAGCTGACCAACAACATGGTACCAACAAAGTCTGCACCATTCAATTCAGTGATGCTCACAGTAAGTCAGCAGGAGGTAACATAAAGTATTGTAACATTTTGTAAACCATCAAGTTCAATATAGTTTACATGAAAAAATAAATACAATGTAGAAATAAATATCTTTCTAGTAAAAAATAAAGGTTTTGTATAACAATAAATAGAACAACTTGCATTCTTCTTCTTCTGAGACAGCCCACTTCCTCTAGTAAATGAGCTTCTTAGCAACTATCAGCGTGTTCTTCAGAAGCATTGCAACAGTCATAGGTCCCACCCCTCCTGGCACTGGAGTGATGAAGCCAGCCTTCTTCTTCACTTCTAAGAGAAAAGAGAGAAAGGAATTGACTAAGAATGTTTCCAGAAAAATTTTTCTCATTCATTTTTCCAGAAAAGTCCAACTGGCAACAAGCTTAAAGGACCGTGATTTGGACAATACTGAAGAATATGTGAAAAGTTACCGCAGAAGTCCTCAAATCCACAGTAGTTCCAGGATGAGTTTGAGGGACACGGTTTAGTGGACATGGTGGTGATGCACTGACAGTTGGACTAGATGGTCTTAGTAATCTTTTCCAATCTTAATGATTCTATGATAGGATACAATCAGGACCAGAGTTGCAAGGTAGTCCTCTTCTTGTCAATGTCATTATCAAGGCACCAGTTTTGGGCTATGGTTTTCCCACCAGCTTAAAGCAATCTGCCTGCAGAAGGCTGCCTTTTCCTCATGGGAGTACACACCTCCAGCCAGCCTGTGGTCAGCCACCTAAACTGCATGTGTTTCTGAGGAACTGCAAGAGCAGGAGTCCATCAAAAAGAACAGCTGAGCACAAGCACAGCCTTCTTCCCCCACTGCAACCTGAAGCTTCTAATGAAAATACTCTACCTGTTCTGAAGTTCAGAAGAGAACTTCAGAAAACTACAGTGGGAGAAAGTACAGCTTCCTGGTAGGTTTGTTTTCTGCTTCTCAACATGGGCAAAGAACAAAACAGAGCTGAGTCTGTAGAAAAACAAATTCCCATTGCAACAACAGCCAGAAATGCTCTGCTCCTTTAGAGAAGGTGTGGTTTTGTTGTTGTTTAACAAACAAACAAAACCAAAGCAAACCAAACCACAAAACAGCCTTATTATGGTGCCTACATCAAACTTGGACTGGGAGGCACTGGTCTTACTGAAGTGTCAAAGAAAGAATTTTGACAACTGAATTAGAGGCGACTACCCAGGCTATGTGGCTGTCCAAAGTTAGCATGCACCTTGCTAAGAGATAGATACATCTTTTTTCCTGTTTTTTAAAGCATTTAGTTAGCAATGCACTTTAGTTAACAGTGGCATACTACTGATTGCTGTAGAGATTTTCACAAGTGTCACCATGAGTGTGCATCACACCACCCCTGCTTTTTTTTTTTTTTTTCCCCCCTCCTTCCCCCCCCCTCCCCACCCAAGGGTCTGAAGTAAGGCACGGAAAGTAACTGCAAGCATGTCACATAGACACACTCTATGGTGAGCATTACTATTTGAAAAGCAGCTGAGAAGAGCTGTTAATTACACCAGGGAGGGCTTTGATTACTCTACTAGCTGTACCACCAGATATACGGTTAAAATACTTGGAAAGCTTAACAAATTGCAACTTGCAATGCTTTTTGTTGTTACTTTGTTTTTGTTGTACATGCAAGTTGTAAAAAAATAAATTAAGGTCCCATACGACAGTTATTCTTAATATTCTCACACACTCTTAGTAATTATTCTGAACTACCTGCTCTTTGAGATTGGTGTTTATGGTTAGCAGCTACTGCAAATCCCTAACTCAATGTCATAATTATTGAAATGTACCCACATCTGAAGTGAACACCATCATAATTGCCATACAAATTGTTTCAGCCATTTAAAATTGAAATAAGTCTATTTCCATGGCAATGTTATATGCTTCTCTTTGTGGTGTTATTTGGAACTTATCTTAGTTACCAAATGCTGCAGTTCACAGCTGCACATAAGGAAAGCCTTCCAATGCACATCGTGCACAACATCATTGCCTCTCATGTTAGGAGCTGTACTGAACAGCACAGGCACAGAGCACAGTGTGCTGCTCTCACAGGTTGCAGAAGATTTTCTCTCCCCATACTCTATCATTACGGAAATCACTGTGGCTCAACGTGGCAGAAACCACAGTTTATATTTTGCATACAACCACCTGGATACTTTATTCACAAAAGCTGATCCAGATATATACACAAAGGCTGCTCCAGAAGTAATGCCTCCTGTTTTATTGTGTTGGCCCACAACATAAGAGGTGGATGTCAGTTGTACGGCAGTAGAGGTTGAACCTTCCCACAACTATTCCACATGCAGTTTCTTGTTCATCACTGAACAAAATGCATATCTAACAGTGGTAACTATGTCAAAAAAACTGTGCTTTGTAGCTAAGAATTTGCTCTATGAAACAGTGTTATTGTACTCCTTGTACCTGTTACAGTTTCCATGGAAATAAACAGGAGGCATTACTTTTGGAGCAACCTGTGTAAACAAGTGACAGTTGTCTATGTTTAGGAACTACCATCTGATACATCTCCACCTAGGAGAGTAAATACAGGTCAGATGAATGCAATTCTCTAAGATGAACATTAGTGAGCAAAGGGGTAAAAATAACATCAAAAATGCAAACAGACTCTCCTTCTCTTATGAAGAGTAGAAAGCCAAAGCAGTCCTAAGGCAGCACTTTGGTGTGACCCACCTCATGTCAGTAAATCAGGTGCTGCACCTTTGCTTCCTTCAGGAGGTCTCGTTTCTGCATCCCAGCAACAGTAAAGCTCTAACCTAGCTTCTGGAGACCAGCAATTTGTAAAACGTTGGTACACAAATGAGATGTCTATGGGGAAGGAGCTGCTATTTTGCAGCTTCTTTAGAATCTTCAAATCTTCCTTTGATTCTTCAGAAGAAATGAAATGTAGATTATTTCCTTGACAAACAGGCTCTGCTGCTTTGGAAGCAGCCCTTCATTCCTCTGTTCCTTTAAAGCAGGAACATCAGACACGGAATAGGGTTCATCACACAAACCCAGGGCAAGTCTCAACCTGAAGGTGGCTCTGAGTCTGGCGCATCTGCATTGAGTGATGCAGAATAATTCCTGCCTAAGCATTGTTTGCACATGGCTTTATTAGTCCCTGTACAGCTTCTCCAGGATCACTGCATCCGTACAGCAGTGCACAAGTGTGAATCACGTGCTCAGCAATCATAGTAGATATCCCATGATCTGCTTGCTTACACAGTCTGGAATTTTCCTCACTGTGCACTGTGGAATAGTAACCTGAAAACAATGATTCCATTTCTCAAAATTCTTTCTGTTTGATATTATCCCCTAATGCTCCCCAGCAGAAAATTAAGCAGCACAGCTACTTTCAGATGCAGCTAATTAGCACAGGCAAGTGGGTGAGATATTGCAACAGCCTTGGGATAAAGAGCAGTGGCAGCAGAAATTAAAGGTCCCAGTGAACATTTCCTTAGACCCCTGCATGAGATGTGGCCTCCTCTGTGAGAAAGAACCTCGACTTCTCCAACTCAAAGCAGAGTGACACTAGCTAGTGGTGCTCCATGGCCTCCTGGCAGCCACCACCCAGAGCTAGCAGTTGCATTTA